CCCGGCATCGTTTGGCTCTGGGGACTCTCAGGCGTGAGAAGTCTGTTGCTGTGACAGGTTCACCATCCAGGACTTGCGCACGAAAGCTCCCGGCCGAGAGGCTTACGAAATCCACAGCATGCCGATTGAGCCGAATTGAAAGAATGACAGCACTCAGCAAGTGAGCGAGAGATTGAGGAAAAACAGTACTAGACAGTTTGCCCCTATGTACGCTCTCCGCAGATGACGACAGCCGTCACGGCCCTGGTCGAATCTGCCAAGAAGCCAGAGGTGGGGCTGCAAATGCCAAAACGGTTGTGCCTCTCGCATGAGCTCGCGTTCGTTTCTTGCCGAAGCAGGTAGATGGCTACGAGTTCCAGTCTAAAGGCGAGCCTTTCCAGAAGGCTCACGATAAACTTGACCGTGAGTCGCGGCAGGCATCGTGGAGCTGCTGAAAGAGCTGGAGGACAAGTTTATCCAAGAGAAGGAGCCATGATGTAATATGTATATATACAGGTACACACACATGTATAATATATATGTATATATATACACACACACACACACACACGACAACGCCCAAGCTGGGAGACATAAGCCTGACGCAGGCAGATTTGGAGAAGGCCGAGTTTGAAAAGAAAGCCGCCTACGAGACCACCTTGGCCGGTAGGGATGCCAAGACCTGGGTGTTCAGGGACTTTAGCGTTACTGGTTCGGGTTTAGGGCTTTTTGGGGTCGCTGATCTACTTTTTTTAGGTCCCTGTCTGAAACTCGCGGATGTGGGCCTCTAAGGCCTCAAGAACGAGCAGGCAGCTGAGCAGAAGGCGCGGTCCAAAGGGAAGGGAAGAGTCCTTTTCTTTTGCTTCTTCCGACTGTTTTGACTAATGGCCTTGGTGGTAGAAATCTGGCTCACTCCTTGCTGTGCATCGCAGGACATTGGTAAGAAGAGTGCCCTCAAGAGCAAGAAGCTGCAGCAGAAGGCGAAGTTTCGTTAGAGCCGTGCCTTGCAATACCACTTACCCATCCGTCGGCCTTTTGCCAAATCGTTCGTTCATCTTGCAGAGAGATCATGTAGTAGCGAGCCCACCTGGGATTGCTTTTGCTTGTGCAGTGCCTTGTGCGGCGCCGGATCCCGAAGAAACACTGTCTCAATGAGAAATTAACGAAAAAGATCAAATCTCAAGCATCTCGATTTCGCTCCACGAGACGAGAGTCCGCCTTGACGGGCATGGGAGCTGGTCAAACATCACGAACACGAAGCTTATAGTTGCACGGCTGGCGTGGTTTGAGCTAGCTTCGTCACTCGAGCACGATGCTCAAACTGTTGACCCGCTGCTTGTTCGCAACAGCAAACATGTCCGATCGTGCCCGGCAGAGGAGGCATCGACAGTCGCTGTCTAGAGTCCTGGTGTGTGCTTCTGCGAGCCTTGTCAGTAAGGAACAGGAACCCCTGAGCGTTCGCATAGCCAGCGATGACAGCGATGACACGCCGGCTGCAAGACAAACGGAGGCCGAGCTGGGCAACAACCTGGATACCAGCGAGTCCACCAAGGCGGCAGATGAGCCTGGAGCCCTGCTTTAGGCATGAAGAGCCAGGGGTTGCGGATTTTCCCTGGTGCCGATGCCCACGAGAACCGAGGAAGTATCTCCAGGACATCACCAGCACCTGCAGCCAGAAGGCCCTCCCCCGGGAGCTCTCCCTTCGTATGAAGAGCCGAGACGTCTGCGTTTTTTTTTTGTTTCTCTCAGGCGACGGACTACGCTTCTCGACAGAAGCTCCGAGCGGAGGCAAGGGTATGGCCCGGTGGAGGGCCCTGTGCCTGGCAAAGTTGGCAAAGCCCACCCATGACAGGAGCTGGAAGCCGTAGACAAGGCCCGGGCTCCTTTGCACGGCCAGCGGTCTCCAGAGCTTGGAACAGAGTCCTTTGGTGGCTTATGTTGCCTTGCCTCTTTGGATTCTTCGGAGCGGGGCATCCGACTCACCTGCTTGAGGCCATCGAGATCATTGGCGGGGAAACTGTGGCAGGGCTCCCCTGGCAAATTTCATGCTCGCATGGCATGCCAGACGAATTGGTTTGGAGACTCTGGTATTCAGCTGTGCTTTGACCCCTCAGTCATTGCGGCTTTCTCGTTTGTTCACTTCGACTGCAGTCTGCGCGGCAGGAGCGAGCAGAAGCATCTGGCCAAGGGCTTCCTCCAGGTCGGGTGAGTCGAGATGCAAGGGCCAATGTCGAGCATGTCCTTGCGTGCGGGTCAAAGCATCTAGGGCACCGATGCAATGCCGCTATGCAAGACTGCTCCAGTAGCAGAGCCTGTCATCATGACGTCTCAGCGCCTCTCGCTTCCAGTGGGGTAAGTTCTGCAGACTTTTCGCAGATCTGTCGGCTTTCTCTGGCTGTGCTCCTGGGTGCAGGTCTCCGGCACATCTCTGGCCGCCCTCCGAGCGAACGATGCACGCCGCACCCAGGCAGTCATCAAGGCGAAAGGGAGGGATTGGGCTCTGCTCTGCACCACACATCGGCTGTTGTTGAGCCTGCATCACTCGTGGGCCAGACCCGAACTCGGAAGAACCCGACGCTAAGATTCTCGCGGGCAGGAGAAGGTCGCGGCCTTCCTCCAGAAGGAGGTTGGGGCTGCGCATCTTTGGGTTCATCTCTATCGCCACCGCAAGCAGTTGCACGCAGACCTGGAAACATGGTTAGGCAGACCGCCTGCATAGCGTGACCCTGGCCAACCTGGCCCGGGGCCCGAAATTTCAGACCCCGTGGCTGCTTGCCGAGTTCTCGACCTTCGAGGGCTCCACGCGCAAAAGCACGCAGAAAGTTGCCCCTTCTCGCAGTGTTGGCTGTAAGGCCTCCCCGACCTTCGCCAAGACGTGGCAACAGTTCACAGCATAGGATAGACTTTTGTGTCGTCTATACTTGAAGCAAAGGTGGCGCCGACCGAAGAGTCCCAGTCTCTGGGAGGCGTGGAAGACATGGTGCAGGACCAGCTTGGCATTGTAGTGTTCAACATCTTATGTTAGAGTGCAAGCCGAATCTTCAGCTTCCAGATCTCGGATCGCGTGATCTCCCCTAGGCCTTACTCTCTGTGCCTCCTCACAAACTTCACGTTGGATGTAGGCGTAAGAAGCAGCCTGAGGAGTTGATCGCAAAGCTTGAGAAGCAGGCGGCCGAGGCCAAGACCAAGCAAGGCCCGGCTTTCTGGACGAGTCAGAGCGTGAATCTTGGGTGCTCGCCACACTAGAATCACTGGAAAGAATGACAATGGCGATTCTAACCTGCGCCATGCGAGATTGCAGCTTGCAAGAATCAGCAGAGTGGACGTGGTTTGCACTTCTCGCGGTGCTTGCCAGAACTCTGCGACAGCGAGCTCAAGAAGAACGAGCGCAAGCGTGGGGTCGGGTGCTTAGGCACCGCGGCAACGGCAGCCGGAGAAAATGTGTTGCGAAGCATGCGCAAGAGATCTTGGCAGCTCTGTCCCTTGACAGTTTCGTTTGAGATCCAGTATGTTCAATACCTTCGTGACGTTTCACTGCAGGAGAAGTCTGCTGACGCCGACCAGCTCGAAGCAGATATCGAGAAGCTGCAGGCAGATTGCAGTTGAGTTCGTCTTTTTAAGAGCTTTTTGAAGGCGGGGCCGATGTGCTACCGGTATCTTCTCTCATCTGCTTGGCCTGGGCTCGTATAAACCATTTGGGGAGAAGTAACCCGAGCAGAATCGAGCAGAGCCAGCGTGCAAGTTTCCAACATGAGGTGTCCGCGAAGAAACTCAAGGAGGCTGGCCTTGGGTGAATTGGCCATGTGCGATCTGACAAAGCGCGAGTAAGCCTTGCAGAGCACTCCTCGCAATTTCCTTCTTCGCAGTCTACAAGTCGCAGTGCTGCGCAGTCCTGGCTCCGTCGTAAAAAATAGGGACAATCAATCTCTCATGAGCCTGCTCAGACAGTTTGGGCTCTGTTTAAGCATGTAAGCCTGCAGGAGGCTGTGGTGCTCGAGGGTGATGTGGCAGAGCTGGCCGCGGGCTGTGAAAACGAGGTTGCAGTCGGAAGCACGCTGCTTTGATTTTGCCCCGCCGACTCACAACTCTTCGCCTTTGTATGACCTGGCAACTAAGGACCAGTCCGTCCAGGAAGCCTCAGCCCCAAAGTGACTCAGAAGGGTGCAGTGATCTTTGCATGCAGTGCTGTCTTGCATGGGCGAGTGCGGACTGTGCCTGTTGAGGAAGGCGAGCTTTGGCTGCCTTCCTTCCACAAATGCCTGCGGCCGAGGCATCTGACCTTCGGGCAAAAGAGAAGGCCAAGAACAACGAGACCGTGACCGATGCACAGGCAACTTCATGTCTCATGGTCAAGTTAGGGATCGGGATGAGTTCAGGGGCGCTTGAGCCTGAACTGAACCTGTGTCTGAAGTTCTGTCCTGCCCCCAGCAGGGAGAGGGGTCAAAAAAAAATTTAAAAGGGATCAAAACAATTTAAAAAGGATCAAAAAACAATTTAAAAAGGATCAAAAAAATATTTACGACTTACAAGGCAATTGGTTGCTTTCCTGGCTTAGCGGCTTCCGGCTTCACGGCTTCCTAGCTTTTCGGCTTCCCAGCTTGTTGGCTTCTCGGCTTCCCAGCTTGTTGGCTTCGCAGCTTCTTGGCTTACCGCTTCTCGGCTTCTTGGCTTCGCGGCTTCTCGGCTTCGCGGCTTCTCGGCTTCTTGGCTTCTGGGCTTCTGGGCTTCTCGGCTTCTGGACTTCTTGGTCACATGTGTACTATGGCTATGGGTTGTCATCTTCCTGGCTTCTTGGCTTCGCGGAATCGCGGCTTCTGCCCTTCTTCGCTTCTCGGTTTCTTGGCTCTTTCTTGGCTTCTTGGTAATATGTGTGTACTATTACTATTATAACCATCTTGCTTATTATTCTCATGATTATTCCAAGTATTACTCAGAGGACTATCATTTCTATTATTCTGACTAGTCTTATCACCATTGCATGTATGAATATTGATGAAGAACGATGAATATAGCTGACTATATACATATATATATATATACATATGTATTCTCTCTGTGAGATGAACCTTAAACCACCCAAGCGTCATCATCATCGTCATCCTCATCAGGTTCCGTGTGCGTAGTAGTACTCCCAATTAGTTGGACAGAAGTTCGCTTAACAGCATTGTGTTAAAACCTGCATTTTGTACACTGGAACCAGATAACACTAACAGGCACCAGGAAGCGCGCAACCCTAGTAGTAGTAGTAGTAGTAGTAGTAGTAGTAGTAGTAGTAGTACATGCATCAAACAAAATTAGGCTCAGCCGCTCAAAAAAAATTTAAAAAGGATCAAAAACAAATTTACGCTTGGGGGATTTGCTGCCGTGTGAAAGCTAGCCGTGGCTGCATGCGCAGAAACAGCCTTATGGTTGCCAGGAATGAGCCGAATGACCCTGACGCTGTGGCAAGTTGCTGCTTGCGTTCTCGAAAGGGTCCAACACATGGACCACTGCAGGTAGTTCCGACCCAGGACTATTGAAATCGCACTTACAGAAATGTTCTAATTTCCTTTCGCGTACTGGTGCTATTCCTGGATTTAAGCCTGCAGTGGTCCATGTGTTGGACCCTTTCGAGAACGCAAGCAGCAACTTCCACAGCGTCAGGGTCATTCGGCTCATTCCTGGCAACCATAAGGCTGTTTCTGCGCATGCAGCCACGGCTAGCTTTCACACGGCAGCAAATCCCCCAAGCGTAAATTTGTTTTTGATCCTTTTTAATTTTTTTTGAGCGGCTGAGCCTAAATTTGTTTTTGATCCATTTAAATTGTTTTTGATCCTCCATCCGACACCAGCAGATCCCCGCAGTTCCCCACTGGAGAAGTGGCCTGAACCTTGCCCCGCATTATGTGAGGCTGCCCAGGAGGCCGTCGCGCAGGCCACTTCGGTGCTGAAGGCGGAGCAGTACTCACGTCCGGACTTCTTTTTCAGTGCATGGCAAGCACAGAGAACTCACAACACTCTAGCACCCAGACAGGGCATACTAGAGCACACCAGGGCCCTACAATGACTCAAGATTTGAATGCCGGATGCTGAGTGACCCGAAGGCCTTTTACGAGAAGGCGGGCCAGGCGACATCGGATCGGAGCAGCGTCTGCTTGCGGGGGATCAGCGGAGCGGATCCAATCGTTGTACGTTGCAGTTGTCTTTGGCTTTATCAACTGACTCGCTTGTGCGATTTGTCATCAAGGTCAAGGTGCCAACTTCATTCATTCAAGAACGCTTCAGATTGACCTGCGTAGTCTGCACATTACATTTTCGATTAACCGGCCTCTCTCTCTCTCAACCCTCGCACTCTCCTGTGTTCCGGACACCCTTCTGTTTCTTGATCCCCCCTCTCCATCACTCCTTTCTGAGCTCTCTACCCTGTACGCGGTGCCAGGCCACGGCTCTGGTGCAAGTGGGCTCTGGCAAGGCCGAGAGTAGTGCGTAGAGTTGTGGCTGATTCTCAGCGTTGAGGCATATTTTCAGGCATTGCCCCAGATGTCGCCACGCCTCAACATGTCTTCGTGCATGCAGTGCCAGGCATCGGATATGCTCGGAGCTTATACTGTAGCCTCTGCACATGGGCAGCACAGAAGGCACGTCATTCACAGAAATGCAGACTTGCAAGTTCTGCCCAATGCTGCGCGAATGAGTCGAGATGTCGGTGTTTGCCAGGTCTGGCCAACCTGCCATCTTCGACGCGCCCTAACCTGAGAGTACGAAATCACCGTTTCGTGCCCTTGACGCTACCTAACTCTAACTTCAGCCTTCGGATATGTTTCAGGTCGTACAATGGCATGAGCAGCAAGAGCGGGGGCGTCCTCGACATGCTCCAGGCACGTTTCTGGCAAGGTCGCAGGCCCTAAACCCTAAACCCTAAACCCTAAACCCTAAACCCTAAACCCTAAACCCTCAACCCCAAACCCTAAACCCTAAACTTTGCCGGGAGCCTTGGTCTTCCCCGGCTGTTTCGCAAGCGCGGGGTCATTTCGGCAGGTCATCGCTGCAGACTTCGCCAAGCTGGAGGCGGAGACGAGCTCGGAGGAGGCCAGGTCGGTATGAGCAGGAACATTCCTACACGTATAGTATATTATAGTATATTATAATATATTATAGTGTATTATAGTATATTAAAGTATATTATAGTATATTATAATATACTATAGTGTATTATAGTATATTATAGTATACATTATCCCTGATTTCTACTACCATCGTCATCTCTCGGTCCTTGGGTTGGCACGTGCAGGGAACCATAAATGCTTAGAACTGCTTGGTCAGTGTTTTGTACAAGGTGTGATCTTTGCGCATGCTGACTTCCTTCCGCGTTAGAGGAAACATCCTCGCCGGTCGTAAAGCCTTTGTCAGAACTTTTCGCATTTTCAGCTTCGTTTGTGCTTGCAGTTCCATTCCGATGTTGTCGCACCCTGAGGTCAAGGGTAAACTCAAGTTCCGGAAAGGGCACTCCAGGATTGTAAAGTCGGTTCGAACGAATACTGTTGTGCTGTGGCTCCGCTTTCGATTTCTTGCTTTCCTCGTTATTCTGGCTTTCGTTCTAAGTTGGAGCCTGGAAGTTCCTCGAGAGACTCGTGGTCAAACGGACCCCTCGGCCTTGTGACAGGAGTCCAGCCAGGCCGAGTACGACAAGTTCATCTTTGAGTCCAAGGTGGGGCCTCCAGAAAGCCAACTACGGCGCTCGCGCATGAAGTTATAGCAGAAGGAGAGCGATGCAATGCTCTGAGTGCGATACCGATGGCATTCATGCCTCTGTCCGGTATGTGTGCAGGTGAACAAAAAGCAGATGGAGGTTGACATTAAGCACAAAAAGGTGGTGGGCACAGTCTAATTGCTAATTTACTCATCGCTCCCCGTGTGCAGCAAGACAAAGTCGCCAGTTTGTGAACTAAGGAGTATGCCGCTGAGCAGCTGGCCGACTCCGAGGCAAGACTTCTGGGGAACATTGGTGTAGTGTGATTTGAAATCCGGGGTGTGGGCCGCAAGTGCGGCCTACGTGTAGACACCACAGATGTCTCCAGTGCCTCTTAAGCACGGTTCCGAGGAGAAGACGACCGAACTTGGATCCGTCCAGGAGGAGAGACTGACCATGTTGCTGGAATAGGTTTGAATAGACAGCATGTTCTGCTGTGCAGAATGTAGAACTCTGTCGAGTTGCTGTGCTGCAATAAGGGGGGGGGGTGTTGCAGTGCTCTCGAAAATGGAGCTTGTGAGGAGCTTAAGGCCCTGCTGCAAGTCTACGAGGCAATGAACGAGGAGTGCACCACAAATCGCCAGGACCGGATGGTGCTAGATGCTGTGTTTGCTTGCTGACGAGATTGAGGATGCAGTCTGCCCGCAGTGAGTCCACTCGAACTTCGCCAGGAAGCGCAGAAGACAAGGGAGGAGACGATCGCGTTCCAACCTCGACTGCTGCAGCAAACGAACTGCAGCATGGCTGGTCGAGTGGAATGGATTGCACTTCGGGCTCTAAGGTCTCTCCAGGAAACCCTCAAGCTGTTGGACAACATCACCTTGGTCAACAGCAACAGCACCGAGAGCAGCAAGTAGGCTGCTCAACACAAGGTGGCTTGAACAAGCTTCGCTGCTTGTTTTGCGACACACACATGATCATTGAGAGACTTGACCAACCAGGTGATGAGGCCCCAGGCTGCTGCCGAACATCCTTTGCCGCAGCTGTCTCCGCGTCCGCGGACAGAATCAAAAGCGTTGCACGGCCCACGCTCTTGTCATGCGACATGCTTTGACTGCCTCCGTGGAGTATTGTTTGCAATCGAGCCAGCATAGTTGAGTCACGTCGAGTCGGACTGCAGCCGTTGTGGAGACTCTAGCGACCCGCTCCGTTCGAGCGCACTTCGCGCTGAGTGGATCCGTCCGTTCCCTGAGGCAACCGCGCCGGGGCCTTGCCTGACTCACTTTCCACCCTCAGCTGTTGGGGTTAAGCTGCTTCAGGCAAACAGCTTTGTCGTACTAATGACTGCTTACATTCGTATGGATTGCAACACGATCTTGCCAAGTCCTACAGTCGTCCATACTTCTGAGTTCTGAAGTGCTGTGTTCCAAGGTGAATTGCTTTATTGTGGCGCAGAGCCCAGGCACGTTGAAGAATCAGAGCATCTAGTTGATTGGTGTTGCAGCAAGATGAGCTCCGCCTCATGCTTCCTTCACAAGTCTTCAAACAGGTGGTAGGACAGTACTCACGGGTGACGGGCGCAGGGGGTGGTGCACCGAGTTTGACCTTGGCCGTTGCTGCGTTTTCATTTTTGCTGCAGCAGCATTGCAGGGCCTTCGCCGCCAGCAGTGCTTGTAGAACGTTAGGCCGCATGGTCTTGCATTCTTGTCGAATGTTCAGCCTTGGAGCGTTCAGCTCGTAAGGTCGTAAGGCACATTCACGAAACTTTTGCTACACTGCGAACCAGACTGATCCAAGACAGAGACTCTTACTTTATCAGATTGGCATAGATTGGCCGAAAGCATCGACGGGCCTTCCTCAATGGCGCCAGCGGCATCGCCCGTCCAGCCGGTCGAGCATCCGGCCGTCCAGGCAGAGATGCACTGCCATGGCGAGTAACACTTTCAACACCAGAGGTCTGACATGGCTTTCGTAACCTTGCTGTGAAGCCGAACAACAGCTGACCTTGTTGTTGCGGCAGATAGCAGCTCGTGCGAGCTACAGAGGGGAATGCCACTGCCAGGCGGTATGGACCGGTGCGACGAACCTGTCGCTTCTTCCCGTAGTCTTCCTGACCTACCGTGTGGACATGCGCTTTGAGAGCGTCGTCTGCTTCCTGGCAGTATGGCAACTTTTGTAAGCAGTTTACTTCTGAAGCCTACAGCGCTTTGGAGGAGGAGCGGAGCTGTTAACAGCCGCAACATGCTGAAAGCTATCGTTCTGTTCGCATCTGCCGGCAGAGCGAAGGTCTTTTCACCTTGGTGACCTCGGCCACCTACCATGTGTGCGAGAGCTTGGACCACAAGTTCTTAGGCGCCAGGGTGAATGGAGTATGGGAGGCACCGAAGCTGTACTTGAACAGATTGACACTAGTCACTAGTCACTGGTCCCTGCTATTATTAGGACCTAGCAGAGTGCTACGCCAGGAGTCAACCACTACAGGTGGCACTTTATGGACAATATCTTTGCCGCAGCCACAGAGCGATAAAAGGAGTGCAAACAGGTCTGCAGATCGCTCTGATCTCCTGTCGTCGGGTTGCATCTTGCAAGCAGCTGTGAACTGGAGGCCATTACCGGCATCATGTTGAACATCATGAATTTCGCTCAGGCTAGCCATTGATTCATTGCGTTGTGTGCTCCTCAGCACGCAGTTTGCCAGGCACCGAGGCCAGCAGCTCTGCGCGAGTTTCGGAGCCCGGGCCGCACAATTCGTCAGGGCTTGACAGTCAAAGGTCCAGAAGGATTAAGGCCGCTGCTGGGGAAAGAGAGACATTCTCCATCCGAAGACCTGGACTTGACAAGTTTCCAAGCTACTTAGGGAAGCTCCAGCATGGCGCCTTTGCTGCCAGGATAGCGCTCACCGTCGGTATCGTGATCTGCTTTCAAGCGGCAAGTCCCTGGAATCTCGCCAACACCGTCGTTCCGTTGGTGCCCAGGCTTTGCTCAGAGGAGTCCACGGACGAGAACCTTGCAAGTCCAGAGCACATGGAAGCATCTGTCCGACTGAGTTACTGAGCATACCCGTGCTCCTGATAGAGCTGGTATATCTCCGCAGGCCGGAATACATTCAGAGCCGCACAATGCCTCCCAACCCTCGTCGCCTGCGCAGGTTGCCAACTTTGGACAAGTCGGATGCTTTCAAGGAAAGCGAGTGGAGGGGCTCAGGGATTCAACCGATTCGGGAAGCTTCTTCGGGTCATGGCTTTGGTTTTGACTGCGGGGGTACGCCGGGGTGCTGTGGGTGGTGAGTTCCTCGAGCAGAGCTTGTGATGCAGACGACTTGAATTCCCCCGCCTGCCCTGAAAGTCTGGACTGGCCATTCTTGGAGGCCTTACTCTGCGTTCCTGCAGCTGCCCTTTGCTTCTACAAGGGCCTCGACGAATCGAAGGCATCAAGGGTTTGGGATGTGGCTGCTACTACCTCGAGCGGAGGTGCGATGCGTGTTTTGATGTTCCTGCGACCTGTGATTGCTGCATCTGGAAGTTCTTTGCATGAAGTACATCTGCACAACAGATGACACAAAGGCCTGGAATTTCAATTCTGCATCTCGCAAGTGTCATCCCGGAGCCCAGAATTTTGAACCAGAAAAGCTCAAAACGCGAACCCGCTTCCCTCCAACACCGGACGTGCCCAACCTAAATGCCTTAAAGTTTTAGAGCCTTGGAATGTTAGAACCCCAAACGCCAACCTATTTCCCTCCGACACTGGAAGTCCGCCATCTCAAATCCAAACTCCAACGGACATGGGAATTTGTACAGCTCCGAAACATTCCTGCGCCCTGCGCCCTGAAACGGATTCTTCTTCTTCTTCTGCAACAAGCATTATTACTGTTATGATTATTACTATTACTACTTACTATTACTACTACCATTACTACTATCACTACTACT